GTGGCAGTCGTTAGATAATAATTTCCACCTCATTACCTAAAACACAAACCCGGAAGAAATAAATGTTATAATGCTGGTTTTAGAGCTATGCTTTGGAAGCGAAGAGAATTGAGTGATTAATTCCAACCTGGAGGATTATAGCAACTCCATAGAAGAAATGTCACTGGAGCCGTTTCTCACTGAAGGATGGGAAGGACTTGGATAAGGGGAAAGAAAGAAGGAAATGGGAGAAAGTGAGGCATGGGGTCGGGAGAGGACTTGGAATGGGGTCAGTGAGTTGTTCTGTGCTGATTGAACCTTTGGGTTTTTGGAGGGAGCTGTGGCCAAAGGGATCAATTTGAGGCCTCATCCTGCAAGGTCCTGCTGATGTGCTAAGGAGAATGGACTCTACTGTGCAGGCAGTGGCATGCCATCAAAGGCCTTTGAACAGGAGACTGATAACCAGCTCTGCATCTTGTTTGTTTTTGTATTCTCAGCACTAAACGAAGTGCGTGGCACATAATAGGTGCTCAAAAGATGCTTTTTGCACGAAGGAATGAATGTATGTTAGAAGGATGTCTCGGGGAGAATGAGTTGAGTTGGGAAGAGGCTGAAAAAGTGGGGAGCTGTGAGGTACTTTTTTCAACAGTTCAGGTTGGAATGACAAGGCTGATCCAGGATGGGGCCAGGAGCTGGAGAGCAAGGAGCATTCAGAGTTATTTAAGAGGAAGGGCTGACAGGGCTTAATGCTCATGAGATGGGGGAGGGGCAGAATAAGAATGAGGGGAGATTTGGGGAAGACAGGTTTGTGAACTCTGAGGGGGTGGATGGTGGCATCATTCACCAAGGGGGGACCCCAGGGAAAGAAGCAGGCTTGGGATGGAGGACAGAGAAGTGAGACTGTCAGGAAGCTGTTTTTCTGAGATCTCTCCGGTGCCAGGTTCAGGGGGTGGGGGTGGAGGAGTGGTAGGGAGGTGTGGTGTTGGGGGCGGGTGTCCATGTATGTTTTATAAATGATCCAGGTTATGTGCCTCCCACGTCCACTTCTGTCTCTCCCCAGAGAGAAAAGTCTGAGCAATGCTTTCCCCAAGGGCAGGAACCTCATTTGTTCTGTCTCAGAACAAACCACCACTGAAACCCAGCTCGAAGTAGCCATTTTTCATCCCTGTCCTCAGCCACCAGCTCCTCCCAGGAGCCCTCACCCTGTTATCTCTCAGCTTGGCATGGCCATCAGTTTGGACCGGGACAAGGCACTGTACCTCAGGGAGATTTCCCTGATATGCTATCAGCAATGGGCTTTCACTTAGTCACAGTGTTTCTAAATGTCCATGAGAGGACTGGGCTAGCCAGATGGAATAATTCTTTGGAGATCCTGGAGGTGCTTCTAGATCATAGTTAAACTATGGGGTTCCCCTAATTCCTTATTCTGAAGATGCCCCAAGAGCCCTGGAGGAGTCGATGCATAGGAAATCAATATTATGGCCATTTTGGGGCACAGACAAGACATCCTGGGGGCTGAGTCTCAAATAATTTCCCTGCAGCAAGCCTGGGTAGGAACTAATGCTTTGTTTCTATATCCATCCGTCCACCCATCCATCTATCTTCCCTTTCATTTCACAAACAGTCATGACAGGCCCATGCTAGGTACTAGGAATATAAACATAAGCAAAATAGACTTGTGTATTTTGTTGCTTGGGCAGACAAGTAAACAGTCATTTACAAAAAATATTGAGTGCTGAAAGTTCAAATGTGAATGAAGAGGTAGCTAGGTGAAAAACAGTCAAGGGTAAAGTGTGTCCCAGAAAGGAGGTGTAGCAGGTCCAAAGGCCTTGGATGGGGGAGCCAGTGTAGGGCACGATGAGTTCAGGAATTCAAGTAGTCCATATGGCTAGAGGGTAGTGTGCGTGTGCATGGGCGTATATGGGTGCATGCATATGCATGCCCATGCACACATGACTGTGTGCTCATGTGTGCATACATACACAAACACGTATACATGCACACATACATGCACATGTGTACATGCACATCCATGTGTGTGAGCACTCATGCTTTCCCAACAGAAGAGAGTGATGTTGCTAAATGGAAAATTTCCAGGCCAGTGGCCGATATCTCAGTCATGCATTTCTTTCTTTGCCCAAATGTAGAACAAGCTCCCGCTTGGCTCTAAGCGTGGCTCCTGTGCATCAAGGTTAATTGTTTTGTTTTGTTTTGTTTTTTCAAATTGGGGAATTGGGGGAGGGGGACAGACAAGTTGCTGTCCTTTTGTTCTTCAGTCTAGTTGTGGAGGCTGTCGCTTCACTGGCCCATATTGGTATTATCACTGTGCTCTTCCCGGGTGAGGCAGTTGCTCGCCGTCCATTGGACGGCCACTCACGGTGGCTCATGGCAGCTCATGAAAGCTCACACCAGCTGCCAGCCAGCCACACTGCAGCCTACGCCGTCGCTGGCAACTCATGGAAGCCCAGCTCCAGGTCGAGCTGTTGTTCACCATCTTAGCTGTAGAGGGCGCAGCATCACTGGCCCTCATGTGGGATCTGAACCGGGGCCCTGCTGCTCAGAGCTGGCATTCCAAGCCAACTCTTAACCAACGCGCCACTTGGCCGGCCGAAGGTTAATTGTTTGTGTTGAACATTTCATCTGGAAGACTGGCATCTTATCAAGGGGCAAGAGTGGGGGTTATGCTGCTCAGTTCCCCTATGCCCAGCCCAGTGGGCCATCAGTCCTGAGAGTCAGAGGCTTGGGATCCACCCCAATGCTATGCCCACTCCCCTGAGAGCCGTAGGTTTCTGCCCTTACTCAGCCTTTCCTGGAGCCTCTTCTGGGAGCTCGCTTTATGCCAGGCCCGTGGGAGGCCATTGCATTGCTTCCTTTGAAGAAGCAGGGGAAGAGACATGTAAACAATTATGTACGATATGGTATAACAAATGCCATAGTGAAGCAATGCTAAGGAGCAGTGCTGGGAGGCCCAAGGACAATATCAACAATGATAATATCTAATATTTACTGAACACTTATTTGCAATAAGTACAGGGTGAGAGTGGGGAATATAACAGTAACATTAGTTAATATTTATTGAGCATTTACCAAGTAGTGGGCACTGGGTTTAAGCTATTTACATGCATCATTTTATCTGACCCTTGGACACAATTCCATGAGGTATCTGTGGTGGGCAGAATCATGGCCCCCAAAGATGTCCACATTTTAACCCCCCGGAACCTGCGACTATGCTACCTTACATGGCAAAAGGAACTTTATAGGTGTGATTAAATTAAAGATCTTGAGATGGGGAGATTATCCCAGATTGCCTGGGTGGGCTCAATGTAATCACAAGAGTCCTTATAAGTGACAGAGAGAAGCAGGAGGGTCAGAGTCAGAGAGATTCCATGTGAGGAAGACAGAGCCGGCCATCGCTGACTGAAAGGTAGGGATGCTCTACACTTCTCTTTACACTTGGGACAGTAGAGCATATGTAGGGCTGGCAAATAGTTTCATAGTTTTCACAGTCAAGGAGTCTGTAGTGATTGCTTGGAACCCTGTGTTGAGAAAGATTGGGAGGCTATGTTGGGAGGAAAGACGTGGTCCTCCATTAGCAATTTCTGCCATGGATGGGGGAAGGGAGAATGGGGCACATTAGCTAGCTGTTTGCCACCCCAACTCTGGTCCCCCCATCTTACACAGATGAGGGAAATGAGACCCAAGGAAGGAAACTGACTTCTCATGGCTTCACCTGCCCTTCCAACAGCAGCCTGTCACTCACTCATGGTGGCCAAATACTCACTCCCATCAGGAATGCTGGTTTAGGAACGGGTATCTCTGCACCATCAGGTTCTTTTAAGTCTTGGATTCTAATAGTCACTTGAGCTGGCTAAGGGCCATATAATCTTTGTCCCAAGAGTTTTATAATTTCCTAACTGTCAGAGCTTCTTGAATTCAGGCCAGTCTGCTGTGAGGTAGTGAGCTTCCATCAGCTCTGGAACCCTGGAGGGTCTGATGTTTTGCTCCCCCTCAACACTAAGCTGGGACTTGGAAGAGGGGGTGCCCTGGTAATTAATGGTATTTGGGGCTGCCCCCTTCCAGGGCTCTGAGTGGAGCAGATTCAGTGAGAAGTGCAAGTTAAAGTGTGGCAGGAAGACTACTAATGGTAATCAAAGGGCTGGCATGACGGCAGCCTGAAAACCATGGAGGGTTGTACTAGCAGATGATGTTATGAAGGACATTTGAAACGAGATCATGGAGGGTCTTGAATGCCACGTCAAGGAATTTGAACTTTAACTCCCGTGACCAGTACCTGTGAAGTAACATTAATCAACAGCTCCATCCCTTCAGGTCACTGCCAAGTGGCTCATTTACCTGGCTAAGTGGTACAATTTGAAGATGGCAGATAGCTGGGGAATGTCCTGAAAAGAATGTGCCTGTTTTGATGGACACTTGAAATGATGCTCAGGCTTTAGAATGATTCACTTCAAGGACTCTTGGCTTTTTGTATGTCTCAACTCTCAATTGCAACACTACACTAATGTGGTTTTTTGCATTGAATTAAAATTAATCTAATACTTGACAACTCTGGCTGGATGCCTGCCAAATATGGAGACTGGAGATGCTTCCTGTAAATTCTGCCACAGAGGATTCTCACGATTCAGGGAACATCTCATTTATCTCACTGCTATGCACTCCTGACCTTAATTCTCCAGAGATTCCTTCCGAAAGATCCTCTTGCATAAACGTGAGCATGTTCCAAGGCAGTTACTTTTCAAATCTGTATAATCTCTGGGGACCAGGATCATCTGAGGTGCAGGGAAAGGGTCATTTAGATGAACCAATTCTGCTCAAAGTCAGTCTTGGATTTTTTCCAGTAATAATCTCTTTCGTCATTAATGGCCTGCTGGGTGAATCTTATTATATCTCCTTAAAATAATTTAGATGCTAATATCTCCCAGTGACCATTATGTGGGGAACGCAGGGCTGGAAGGTGGTGGTGAGGACTGAAAGCTGTCTTAATTCTTTGCTCCTTTTCACAGCTGGAGACCTTGGTCAAATGCACTTGGAAAAGCTGCCTTAGCAACCAGAATTTTCATGCCTTTGCCCTCAAAATGCCTTTGGTTGGTCTTCCAAAAGTTCTACTTTCTGAGATGAAGAGCCAGGATCCCAGGTGAGCAACCCAAGGGGATTCTGGGTGAATATTCCAAGAGAATTCTGGGTATACAATGGAAGGGCATTTGTATTTTTGATCAGATGTAAGTTTGAGGGTGGGCTGGGGAGGCATGAAGAAAGAGGAAGGATTTGGCAGTCAGGAGGTTTGACTTCCAGTTCTAGGTTTGTTACAACCAGCTGAATTCATTCATTCTGTTGTTTATTCATTCATTTATTCAGCAGCTATTGATGCCTACTCTGTGTCTGGTCCTGTGCTGGTTCTGAGAAAACAGAGACAAACAAGTCATCATGCCGTCTTCAAGGACTTCATAGCTTGTGTGTACCTTTCTCCTTCCCAGGCCTCAGTTTCCTTATCTGTATGGGGAGAGGTTGGAGTAGAAGTTCTCGGAGGGCTCTTCCAGGGTCAGTGTTCTGAGACCATAAGAGCGTAGATATCTAGCACCTTTTCTTTGCTCTCATGCACTAAACTCCATCCACACACTGGGCTGCTGGCTTGCATCAGCAGCTTGCTCGTCACAAGCTCAGGGTCAGTTGGAGCAATATTTATGTGACCCGGTGGTCTATGGGCCAATCAATGCCTATTTGTTCAGAGCCGTGTGGGAAAGCCGAGAAGGGAACAAACAACTTTGCTTAGAGATGGTGACTGTGAAGCTGGACGATCCCCAGGCTTCATGGGTCCCAACCTTCTAGAATTCCTAGAAAGTCCTAGCTCAATTCCAGCTGACCCTTAAATTCCTTTCGCTGGACAAAGGATTGTGTGGCTCTTTTCTAATTCCTGGGAACTTGGTTTTGGATTCAACCCTGGAGAGTAGGCTGAATCTGCACTGAGGGTCTCAATTTTGAGCGTCAGGGAATATGCCACCACCTACAATCAAAGTGACAATGCTGTTGACATTTTAACGGAAATATTTCTTGCTGGATGCTAGAGAGTACGCCAATGTTGTTTTCTTAGAACAGGAGGAAGTGTGATGTGTGAGTATAAAGCTTGATTGTGTAGCATATGGGTCCCACCAGTCAGAGGGGGGAGGGGTCAAGACAGCATCTGAATAATGTCCTAAGGATGCTATGTCCCCGGCTCTGTCTCAGCCTATCTGTGGGGACTCCCAACTCTAACTAATTCACCCCAATGTATCCTGGGAGTTCCTGCCTGTCTTGGTTTGGGTTTCCCCAGAAGCAGATTCTGAGACCATGTTTCCCTGAAAATAAGAGCTAACTGGAAAATAAGCCCTAGCATGATTTTCAGGGTGCTCGTAATATAAGCCCTAACCCCAAATAAGCCCCAGTTAAGATCGTCAGCCAGACGTGACTGTATTTGAATAAATGTAGATTTTTGTACATGAATAAATGAATGAAATGCATCTTTTGGAGCAAAAATTAATGTAAGACCTGGTCTTATTTTTGGGGAAACACGGGATGAGGTGTATTGGTGAAAATTCAATCAGAGAGAGACAACTGCCACCAGGAAGCAACAAAACCACCATGTACATCTCCTAGAGGGGTTTTGCTGGAACCCTGACTGATAACACTTTGTCTCTGATTTCTCTTCTGGGAGAACACATATCCACATTTAAGGGAATTGTTACAAGGATTGGACTTTACACATCGTGGGAGTCTCTGGAAGGCTGTGGTGACAGTGCCTGGTATTGGAGGCTGAAGTCCATGGGGCAGGCAGTCAGGAAGGAAAGATGGATGGAAAGTGAGGGAGAGCAAGGATAAGCTGGGACCCCATGAGAACTGTCTGAAATTGGGGTCTATTTTTGTGGCCTTTGATGGTATGGGGTGTCCACCTTTGTCACAGAGCTAAACACATATGCTTGAGTTGGTGGTCAGAGAAGTCTAAGGAGGGTCCAGGGAAGTGGAGCAGGTGTGGTCCTCAAGCCAACAGGCCAAGTCAGCCGCTCAGGCACCGTGTGTGTGAGCTCCGGAACGGCTGCTGCTTCCCTCGGCCCTCCAAATCTCCCACGAGAATTTCTTTGTGCCCAACCTTAACCGGAAACATATGAGAAATGCAATTCTGGGAAATGGAGTTTAACCTAGGTTGGCTGACCCGTTACAAAGGCACGAAACAAAGATTCAAGTCCCAGTAGTTTATTTGGGAACTGATCCCAGAAAATATCAGTGGGGGATTGACGAAGTGGAACAGGGAAGCAAAGAAGCCAGTGAAGGGAGAGTGTCACCAGTTCCACTGAGGTCACCTGGAGCTTGATCCCCTGGGAACTCTGGGACATTCTGAACACATCTCAGAGTTCTCTCGCCCAAGGGCTGAGGAACCTGGGGGATTGTCTCTGTCACTGGTTGGGTTGCTTCCAAAGAGAAAGCTTTCAGGCAGAAAGTCACAGGTGTTCATGATATGTAGCCTTTGGGGGCAGCGAGGATGCTGGGGCTACAGCTGAAAGGATTCTTTCTACACTGGGGCCTCACTTACATGTTCTCAGCTACCACATGTGCCACCATTTTCTTGAGCTGTTACTTGGGCTACAGTGGTGGCAGCTCCTTCTGTTTCCTTGGTCTTGTACTTCATATCCACTGCTGCTGCTTTACTATGTGGTCCTCAAAGTAGGTTCTCTCAGGCCTCTCAGAGATGTAGGGGAAAAGTTTATGATGTATTAATTTGTCCTTGTCTAGCTCGCTCCTGGATGTAGAGAGAGTGGGAGCTGGGCCAGGAGACGTCTGCTGGATGAAACTGTTGTTTTCAGGACTAAACCTCTTTTCTGACCAAGACTGACTGCCTGTGGGCTCAGGGTGCGCTCTGCTAGGCAGATCCGGGCTCCCCTCCACCCAGGCCCAACAGGACCACAACTCAGCCTGACTTTGGGGCCTCAGAGCCTCCTGAGAATGTCACCATATCAGAGCTGGAAGGGGCCTGCCAGTCAACCCGCCCAACACCCTCATGTCACAGATGGAGAAGTGGAGGCCCAGAAAGGAGATGGATTTTCCTGGGGTCACACAATCATTTTGGGGTCCCACGTTGTTAGAATCCAAGGTCAGTCGATGTCCCATTATGCTGTGCTGTGTACAGTGTCCGGTGGCTTTCCATCAATATGGGCCTTATCACACGTGGTTTTGGAAATCTCTTTTGTGGCTGACTTTGAACCTGTTTCAAATCTTTGTGTTACAGCCAGACCTTTCTTTTTCTCTCATGGACAGGTTCATAGATATGCCCTTAGGGACAGTCCCTCCAAATGGGAAGATTATGTACTTTAGGCTTAGATACCCCGAGTTCATATTCCGGCTTGCCCACTATGTAACTTTGGGAAAATTACTTCACTTTATGTGCCCCATTTCCTCACTTGAAAAAAAGAGGATAATGAAACACACCTGTCAGGGTTGTTGTACAGATTAAATGTGCTAATAATGCACATAGAACACTTAGTGCAGTCTCTCAGACATTGTAACTGTTCAGTAAGTAGTGATGATGATGATGATAGTTACTGCTGTTGTTAATGTTAAGGCCATTTGCCTCCACTGTAGGGGCAGCTGATCACACTGCCTGTGTAAGTCTGTTTAATTCAGAGGTTCATGTTTAGGACGCCCATTGTTGCTGCACATCTAAGCCCCCCTTCCAACCCCACCAGTATTAATAATAAAATTGATACATTGATCTCTACCTGTCTTACTCTGTTGTATTCTCCTCAGTTAGTTCAGAGCCTAAGTGGGGAAAACAGGGATATTTATTGAGTCTGTTCAAACCCCAGTAATGGGTTTGTCCATACAAAAATGTATTCGTATGCACATTTTTTTTTAAAATTCAGAGAATAAAAAGAAGAAAAAAAATTACCCATAGTTGTGTCACCCAGGAATAACCTTCTTAAGCTTTTTCTATGCGGGTATATATTTTTAAAATTGTATTATATTGTATGTTTTCTATGTACTTTTCCCTGAAAGATGGAATGAATTCCTTTACACATTTTTTTGCAGCATGACTTTTAATGGCTGAATGTTATTCACTTGTATGAGTAGCCTATGATTTATTGAACCAGTCTGCTATAGGTGATGTGCCAGATACTTTGTTTGCCCTCAGATCTACTTTTCACCCTCTGTACCCTTTCTCGACTTCCATGGGCCCATCGACAGGCTCCTATGCCCTTGAGCACTGTGGGCTCCCAGTGTGGCAGTGGGCAGAGCAGGATGTGTGTGCCCTGCCAGCTGGCAGACCCTGAAGAAAAGAGAGGGACAGAGTGGGCCACACAAGGCAGTTTCCCTCCTAAACTCACCTGCTAAGGTGGGGTGGGTCTGGCAAAAAACCAGGAGTGTTTAGACAAACTTCCTCCTTTAGAACCAAAGACAGTAGGGAAGAAAAAAAAAATGCTATGTAAAAAAAAGTCAAAATACTGTCACACGCTTATCTTGTTTAATCCACGTGGCTAACCTGTGAGGGAGATAATGTTATAGATTCCTACTTTACAGGCCAAGTGAACCAATTTTAAAGGTAAAGCTCAGAGAAGTTAAGTAATTTGCCCAACGTCACACAGCTAGTGGGTCATAATGCCTGGCCCAGAAGCCATGGCTCCTGGACTCCCAAGTTCCCTTTCTCTGCATGGATTAGGAAGGTTTTAAATATTTAAGTAAGGTTGCCAGAGTGTGGTGGGCCAGGCCCTTGGCAATTCTAATGTCAGGCTGCTTGAGAACCCCAGGTGAGAAGGAAAACTAATGGTAGTGAAGAGAACTTCAACTCTTCCTCAGGATCTGTGAGGGGTCTCATCGGAGCCTCATTGGAGCCACTGCCCTCATTGCAAGCCCCAAACTTACCTTTCCCAGTTTCCCCATATGTGCCCATGCTCTGACATCCTCTGTGCCTTTGTACATGCTGTTCCCTCTTCCCAGAATGCTTTCTCTACCTATCATCCTTTGTGGAAATTTTCTGTCCTTAAAGAACCAATTGAAATGCTCTCTTCTTCCACAAAGCCTATCTTGACCCCTACAACTGAATGTGCCTTCTCCTTCCTCTAAATCTCTTTCATTTCTATGGGGAACTGGACCATGAACCCCCCACGGAAGCCTCCAGCAGAGTTCTTCCCCCCACCTGGCTTCAAAAGCAGCTTGTCCTTAGTGGGTGTGAAGCTGTTTGTCAAATCACACAGAAGCAAGGGATTTTGCCTTTTGACATTGCCTTGTGCAGTCCAAGATACAGAGGCTCAGGCTCTGCTCTGAGTCTGTAGCAGCTCTTCTAGGGAGGCCCCTTCCCCGACCTACTCTGACCACACACACAAGGAGCCACTAGCTGCAGGCCTGGCACTGTGTATACACTTT